GAATAATTTTCACGGTTTGTATAAATTTGTATAATTTACAATTTAAGGAATTTATGACTCAAACTTACGTAAAGAGCACTTCGTTAACTGCGCTATTGAAGAACTTGCTTTTGCCGTCTTTGCTATTTTCCGCTTGAATCTTTAATTTATTCACTATCTCTTTTATATCCTCGGGTAGATTCTCGGGCAAAGACGCTTCTTTATTCTCCATTTCCTCCCCGTCGGATTCAACGTAAAGGCAAGCACGAGATTTCCCCGAATCTGTTGTATCGCGACTCGACTCATCTTCGATTCCTCGAGCTGCATTGACGACGCTTTCTATCGCATCGGCGATGTTGTCTTTAGCACCTAATCTCTTTAGATCTATCTTCTTCGCGTCATACCCATTACTATTGGACGATTTCTTCTCGAACTTTTTGATATCGAACTTTTTCTCACTTATTTTATTTTTCTCCGGTTTATCAGACTTTTTCTTCTCCTCTTGATCTTCCGAGGCTAAAATTGCAAGATTATTCCACAAATAACGCGTAAATCAAAATTATAAATATTTTTAACGACTTAACAACGATGTAGAAAGTGGGAGATATTACCTGTACCTCCCTCAGCATCTGTCGTCTCATTCTTTTCCTTCCGTCTCAAAAGATCCAGATCCTGTTGAGAATTTTGTTGTTGTGCGTCCTGCGTCTGATGATTTTGCTGCTTTTTTCTCTTTTTACTCTCATGATTAACTTTCTTCTCGCTATTTTCATCGATTTTCCGTCTCTGTCGATAGAAATTAAATTACAGAGTACCATACGGAGATGAAACAAACAATATCGTACCTTTAAAAAATCAATTACTTTTCGTGGGTTATCACCAGTAATATCCTCCGTCTCATCGTCATCCGAGGAGCTAATAGTACGTTTATCTACTCTTTTAGGACTATCTACATCTTCGGTATCCTCTTCGCTACTCTCACTACTCTCCTCGTCGTCGCTATTGTTATTATTATTATTGTTATGGACTAACGAACGTCTATCGGCTGCTCTGAACTCAAGAGCTCCGCAATTAATATAGAAGCCCCCGTGCGCCGTGGTCATCTCTTCGGGTACAATTTCATCATACTGTTGACAAAATATTGGGATTACATAAAAAAATCTTCAAGGATATTCTTCCACAAAAAGAGAAACTTGACGTACAGCATCCGGATTTTCGATGAAGGAGTCGTTTTTCACCTAGAAAAGGCCCAAATCCACGTACTCATCATATTTGTGCCTTTTCTTTCCCATTGTAGATGTTCCCTAAGGCAACGGGAAATAATTAAATGTTGGTCAATGTCATATCAAAGATCAGCTTTAACATCAACGTACATATTTCGCCTCGAATCGTCTCGCCATGTCTTTAAGCTTATCCTCGTCATCGTCATCGTCGAACGGGTCCAATCCATTGGTCGCATTCTCATCTCCCCTCTTCTGTTCTTTCCTTCGTTTTTTCTGCAAAGTAAATAGATTAATTTGCAATCACTCGATCGAGTATGCATCGAAACGTCCCTTGTTCGCGCGAATCGACCTAATAATCCACAATCAAATCGCTCTCTATTTCGCTTCGCTCTATGTACCACTTTCACTAATTTATAAAAAAAATTTAGATCGATCGAAGAGAATAGACCATACCCGTACATACACTTTCGAATCCGGTTTAAATGTATCGTCGATAATGATCGGAGGTGTTTCGCAATTGGCAGAGGCTTTTTTACAATATATTCATCAAATTCATTAGTGAAACTCTATTCCAGCACTATCCTTTTTCACGTGTAGAATACGGAACGCATAATTTTATCACGTCATGCGAATATATCTACATTATTTGTCAAATTGCTAAAGCCTATTTAATGACTCAACCATGAGTCACTATAATGTCTCTACATACAGTAGATAGCAATTTTTCAAATTAAAAAGACCAGCAAAAAATCCGTAGTTTTTTACATTATTGTTCGTCGAAAATTACAATTTTAGTTTTGTTTCTTTTCTGAGACAGGTTTTCGCAGGATTATTATCACATTCTCAGCAGCGAAGAGAATTAAAGGAGATAAAAGTCGAAGAATATATAGAAGCGGCGTGTGGGAACTGGTGGGAACTCTGGAATGGATGAATCGACTCTGAAAGGGTGCTGAACGTGATCCACCGATATCAGGAGCGCATAAAGCGGCCAGAGCGTCGTCCTCGCGATTTCGCACTCTTTCCTTCGCGTCGCGTCGCGAATCACCTCCTCCAGTCTCCTGTTCCCCTATCGAAGGGACGCCGAATCGAGCGATTGATCCTGCCTGCGACGCGGTTATTGACGATCGACGATCGGTCGCTCTCTTTTTTTTTCCCTACACAAACGCCTCTCGAACGAATCATAGCCTTGTTAATCGTTCAATTAGCTACTCAATTAATCAGCGAGATATAAAGCGCGAATCTGCACGGAATCGCTTTTTCTCACGTTGCTCCACCGCTCTCGCGGTTATTATCGGAATTCTTAATAAAAATATATATATAAGCCAGTAACGCGAAACGAGATTTTATCGCTTGATGAATTAAAACCATTCGAAGTAAAACAGAATGAGAGAAGAGCGCGATCGCGATAGCCATATAGTCGAAATAGCGAAGTTAAAAACATAAAAAAACTTATCAAACGTAAGCATATTAGACGAGGAGAGAATAATGTTTCTAATTCCGCATTTAATCGCTCGTTAAACCACGTTGAATAATCCCGTGGACGGTAGATCGATCTTGCGTTGCAAATTTTCAAAGTGTGCGTTCCCCTCCTCCCTTGCTACTTCGAAATTTGATTCGCCGGCGAAATCGTGCCACGTTTTCGAAACACGTGCGCGACCAAAACAAAGCTGCAAATTGTACGCAGCAGCGCGGCCATGGATGGAAATAAAGCGACGCGGGGGGCCGCAGAAGAGCGGCGATCTAAACGAAGAGGGAAGAAGCGGGCATTTCGTGAACATTTCGCAGAGACGATTTATCGCTCTCTGGCCTCCTGTCCCGTCAAACCGCGAAGCACGATTGCAAGTGGCGCGATACTCGCGCACGAGTAACCACCTGAAAATAAAACATTTTATGTAACGATACGGATATCGGGGCACTCGATACCGTCCGATAATACCCGTAAAACCCGATTTATTTACGTGAGATAGAAAAAAAAGATGGATCTCGGATCCCAGCGTCGCGTTTTTCTACCGAAAAACTGGCCTGGCCCTGGCCGCCAATTACTCGTCGATCATCGGGGAGGAAAGAGACAGATCAGATTAGATTAGATTGAGAGTTTATTTATTTAAATGATTATCCACTCGTATATCGCGGGGAAGGGGGAAGGGGGAAGGAATGGGAGGCGCGAGCGCGCGTGACACGCGTCCCGAGCGGGGGCATTCGATAGCGCGATACGTGTCGGCGGTCACGAATCTCTCTCCTCCGGTGCATCGATCTACAATTCAGAAAGGAGAGCCCGCAGCACACGCTCTCTCGCGCGCGCGTGAAATAAGAGACCTCCGTGCGCGACACACACGTTCGCGCCGTGTGTGGTGTGTGTCGCGCGCTATTTCTCTCTCTCTCTTTCTCTCTCTCCTCCCTCTCGCTCCCTCTTGCCGGCCGCGTTTTCCGCGTATCCTTCTCCCAGTTCTCCGGTTCTCCCCCATATGCATTGAGACCCGCCGGACGAAGTACGTGGCTGTGGCTTGCGAAACAGACGCTGCACACACGAATAAGGCATCGCCGCCGCCGTATGTGCGTCTCTTTCCCTTCTTCGAGGGGCCTGGGAGAGAGAGAGAGGGAGAGGGAGAGCGAGAGAGAAAAGGATGAAATGCCGGACGGTCGCGCAATGGCAACTCTCGTACAGACGTTTTACGAGGCAGCAGGAGGGACGCGCATGAAGGACGCGTCGTCTCTCCCAAGAGAAAAAGAGAACGACGCGCGTCTTGGAAGCGCGAAGCGCGAATTTGCCCAGCCTGGCGGCGCGGTGCGGCGTCCGCTTCGTGACAGCGTGCCGATGACGTTGACAACGCGCGGCGTGGATCCCGACGCGGCCGAAGGACCGCGAATCGATCAAGGAACCGTTCTCGCCCGTCTCGTTTCCGCCGCCGTCGTCGTTCGCCGATCCTTATACGCGGACGGAATTCCGGCACGCGCGCGCGCGCGTGCGGCGTCGACGTCCAGCCAGCCGCGTGACTGAATCGCGCGGCCACCTCGCCGAGGATTCCCTCGCGTCTCCTCGACGCCGACGTCCGATGGACACCCACGTTCCGTCTTGTCTAATTCTCTATACCGGATGCCCCCTACCCCTCGCGCTCATGCACACGCATACACTCTTCTCTCTCGCTCTCACTCGCTCTCTCTCTCTCCCTCGCTCGCTCGCTCTCATTTTTCCGTATGTTTCGCGTGTGTGACACGACAGCTTGACATACGGCCTACGGCCTTTTGTTTTCCCCTCCCGCCGGGGGAAGAGAGGGCGGCGGGAACGGGTTAATCGCGCGTAGCGCGTAGGGCTCACCTCCGCCGACTTGAGGAGCTGCGCGTAGTTGATCTCCGGGCATGTCTTCTCGTTGGACTCGGGCAGGGTGAGCGCGAAGCGGAAGGAGGGCGCGAGCTGCTTGCCCATGTTCCCCTTTTTCTCCTTCTTCGTCGCGTGGCCCAGGGGCTCCGGGAACTCCAGGGTCTGCAGGGGCACCCGTTTCGCCTCTGACATTCCTTTTACATTTGCACCGAGCCTAACGCGGATCACGGAAACACTGCGGGCCCTGCGACCTGCGACCGCGGCAACATGATACACACCTCCTCACCTCACCGCTCTCTTTCTCACTCTCTCTGTCTCCTCTGCTCTCCTCGCTCGACTCCTCAGTCCTCGATTAAACACCGCGCGGACGCCGCCGCTCACACGTCGCCATCTTCGGCACGACTGTTTTTAGAGTGCGCCACGGACGCGCCGCCGCGACGCCGGCGACGCCTGCGCCTAGCTGGCCTCGCGACAGTCGCGACCCGCGGTCGCCGCGCCGGCCACTCGCGGGTTGCGGCTACGGCCGCGTTCTCACAATCGCGTCAAGTTGCGTCAATTTTGGACGCGGCCGAATCTGAATATCCGTGCATCATGAACGCTACCGTCATCGAGCAGCTGATCTGACAGATTGTGACTTTAAATTTGACGTATCCATCAAATTAGACGGCAAATAGTAAATTGTATGTACAATTAATGGGAGAGTAACTTATAAGAAATTTAAGAACAAAAGGGTAAAGAGTTTGTCGCACCGCGGAGGAATTCTCGAAGGCTTTGGACAGTATGCAAAATTATAAGGATCTCTTTTATCAAGATTTTATTAAAATAATTTAATCCTTGCTTAACAAAACAGCAGTCTTGAGCACTCATGTTGTCGTCATTGAACACTGCTACAAATCTTAATTGTCATTTAATATTAAAGAGTACTTGTACGTGTTCCTAAATATAATCTACATTTATAAAATATCTCATATGATCTATATAAATATTTCACACAGGAAAGCTTACATACATATAGATGTGACACGCGGAATATACAAGATATCTCACATTCCAGTGCCTGTAATAGTAAAAAAAGTATCAGTCTTCCAAAATACAATATTTCCTAATATTTACACTGTAATTGCATGTATGATCTCACCCTGATAAAACATGCATTACTGAAATCTAAATACATACAATTATCAGCTTCAAAACCTGCTCTAAAATTAGGACGTACTAATTAAAACTACAAACTACCCGGGATTTTTAAAATCGCTTATAAAATATTCGAATATCTAATAAGTTATACATGTTTGATATTTAGTCAGGCATCCCTGAGTCAAGTTTCAATTGCTAGCTGTGCCAGTTTTCTTTGTTATTTTAATTGCCGAAAATTGCTGACCTAAAAGCTTCATCACATCAGCGTGCTTCAAGTAACTCCTCTCCTTTTTCACCGAATTGTAATTTTGCTTCACGTAAAGCGCGAAACCGGTAGGTTCTCTCTTCGGTGTCGGCACTTGCACGGTACCGGTCTTCGTCGTTTTGTTAACCAATAATTCGAACTTTCCATAGCAATAGCCACATCGTTTTTTATCGATATCCAAGGATTTTGAGTGCCTCCCAACACTGCAAAAAATGATGTTTTAGAAATATAACAGACGCGATTTTTAAATCGATTTTCATCACAATCAATATTCGGTACCTGTATCCGCATTCTATGCATCTATACGTGAATTTAGTTTTAATTTCGTAACTATGACATCGACGAATTGGCGGCAATTCAGGATACGTCTTCATTGCTTTGTTAGCCCTGTAATATGAAGTAAATTATGTAAAATTGTGACCGGTATAAACAATTGTGGCACTCATTGCGTAGAATTTTCAAGCTATTTTATTCTAAAATTCATTGCTTAATAACACAATTGGGCTGTTCGATAATTATAAAATATTGCATCGTACCATCTT